ACCCTTCAACGCCCATTGTAGCAGAAGTGCAACACGTTCAAAACATAATTATATTTTATTATTTTCAATATATTTTAAGTAAGTGGCGCTATCTGGTTAATCTAGAAAGAAATATCTACCAGCTGTTATTAACAACACGGCGATATGATGAATAATCAATGTTTAGTTTCCCGCCAAATTGTGCATAGTACTTTTTGTGATAATAACGTTTATGTGCGTTTTATTTTTGACATTATATACGTAAAATCTTCGTTTATTCTTAAAAAAAAAAATACTACATACTCAGGTAAGTTATATAGATTCTATATATATATACTAGCATAGATATTATTCGTTTTTATTTGAATTATACTAAAATCTAATCATGTTGCATATTTGCTACAGTGGGCAATAAATCAACGACATGAATCGTAACATTTTAAATGACGAAGAATTATTGGAACTTCTTTATAATACTAATTGGTCGGATAGTGAAGATGGTTTGGATGTTTCTGACAACGAACAAGACCATCATGTTTTAAATATTCACGAAAATGTTGGTATTCCTACTTATGACAATGATGAAGGTAAAATAACTATTTTAATTACTATATACTATACATAATTTATACTTTTATCATATGAAAAATTATATTAGGTAATTTGGATTTATTGGATTTGCCAATTGAAATACAATGTAACTCTGGGGAAACAATACATTTACCTTCTGTTTCTACATCAAATTTAACTAATCAAAATCAATTCAACGTTGTAAATTCAACACCAAGGCGCAGTGTAAGACATGTATCTACCTCCCCATTAGTGAATAATTCAAGAGCTAGTACCAATGAATCATCAAATCCAAAACAAACAGGTAATTTAAAAAAAAAAACAACTGCTTTAACAAATTTAAAATGGAAAAAAGGTAGTTTAGTCACACCTTCTGCATGTCTAACATTTATTGAACCTACACTTCCTCATGATTTGCATTTACTTGAAACACCACTGGATTTCTTTGCTTATTTTTTCACTGATGAGCTTCTTACCAAAATCAAATAAGAGACTGAATTGTATGTTGTTCAAAAGAATCCTAACAAACCAGTTACATTAAGTATTAATGAAATAAAAAGGTATTTGGGAATTTGTATTTATGCTTCTGTACTGCATGTGCCAAAAATTAGGGACTATTGGTCCGCTGAATTGGGATATCCTATGATATTTAACTCTATGAGTCGCAATAGATTTGAGCTAATTAAGAGTGTTTTACATTTCAATAATAATAATAATATGTTATCATCAAATGACCCAAATCGTGATCGCCTTCATATACTGAGACCTCTAATTGATTACTTGAATAATCGCTTTTCTTCTATACCTTGCAAACAAGCTTTATCTTTAGATGAACAATTATGCGCAACTAAAGCACAAAGTTACATGAAACAGTATCTTCCAGATAAACCACATAAGTGGGGGTTTAAATTGTTTGTTTTGACAGATACACAAGGATATGCGTATCGTTTTGAGATTTACTCCGGCCAAGAAAACAATTCGATATTTCGACACCCCGATGAACCAGATTTCGGAGCTTCGTCAAATGTAGTGGTAAGATTATCAAGAAATGTTCCGGTCAACAAAAACCATATAATGTATTTTGATAATTATTACACTGCTATTCCAGTGATGGAATTTTTATACAAAAAAAATATATATAGTTTAGGAACAGTCAGAATAAATCGTCTTCCTAACTGCCCTTTACCAGACAAAAATGGCGAAAAAAAAATGAAAAGAGGAGAATCTATAGAGTATATCACATCATATGAGTCCACGCCTATTTCTGCAGTTACATGGAAAGATAACAAAGCGGTTAAGCTATTATCGACATACTGCGGAGAAAATCCGAAATCGAAAATGACCCGATTTGATCGATCTAAAAAGACTAATACAGAAATCGACTGCCCAATGCTTATAAGTGAATATAATAAACATATGGGTGGAGTCGATTTGTTAGATAGCCATATAGGAAGATATAAAATACGGTTCCGCAGTCGCAAATGGTATATGCGCTTATTTTACCATTTAATTGACCTTTCTGTTGTAAACTCGTGGTTGCTCTTCAAACGAGTAAAAGAGCAACAAAATGAAAAACCAGAAATTGAATTACCGGATTGGAGAAAACAACTGGCTTGCGGTTTGGTAAAATCTGGGCAAATAAGAGTAAGTGGACGTGGACGACCAACAACATCATTGGAAGTAAAAATTGCTAGCACTAGGCCACAGTCATTTCGCCCCACAAAAGATGTGCGTACTGATAAAACTGACCACTGGCCACAATTTTCTGACAAACGGGAGAGATGCAAAATGCCGTCGTGTAAAGGTTTCACTTACATAAAATGTTCGAAATGCACAATATATTTATGTTTGAACCGCAATAATAATTGTTTCACTAATTATCATAATATGTAACTATATTATGTTTTTATTATAATATTAATGCCCACTGTTGCATAAATGCTACAAGTTATAAAGTTTAAGTTAAAATAAAAAGTTATGAATTTAGATTTTTTTACTTATTTTTTTCGAATTCCTGGTATTTTAATCCATGTATATAAATTTTAATATACAAATTTAAAAAAATTGGGTTCTGAAGGGTTAATAACGCGATTCGGTTAGTAAGTTATAGTTTATCGAGAACGGTTAGAAAGCGACTAGGCTGCGTACTATTATAGGTACAATAACGGTTGGTTTCGTACGTATCATACAACTGTCAACTGTAACGATATAACTGATACAACAAGCAAGATTAGCAATAAAAATCGATAGCGTTTGGGAAATAATCCCGATAATCAGTGATAAATTTATCATTTGGTTGAAATTACGGTACGTTTTGTATATATCATTATAGTACAAACTTTTTAATATAAATAAAATAAAAATAAAATTATAATCTATAATATATTAAAATATGACTAACATGCATATTGTATATATAATATTTAAATTATACTAGACTAATTTTTTTGAATTGGCGGAAAAGGGAAAGGCAGGGTTTTGGCGGAAAAGGGAATCGAACAATTTATGATTTGGCGGAAAAGTGAATTGGGGGAAAAGGGAAAGGTACACTTTTGGCGGAAACGGATAACTCCCGTTCGACCATTACCTTTTTTTACTTGAGTGCAATTCGACTAAAATAAGTGAAATTCGACCATACCCTTTGTTGGGTTACAAATTACTTGATACTTATATTAAGTAGGCATTAGATAATGGATTGTATGTCTACATAAATACTATCATATGAATATTACATAAAATTATTATTACCGTCGTCAAATTATTATTCCCGAAGCAAACTCCGTCAAGCCGACACGAGAGAGTCCAAGAAAATAATTAATTGAAATAAATTCATCTATTATTAACAGCCAATAGGCGCTACGAATCAAATTCCAGTAACGCTCCACGTGGAGCAAATAATTTAATTATGTTATGGAAATACATGTAGTGTCGACTACGCGTAGGTGCATGGGTACATGTATATCATAGTAGAAACTATAAATATATTTGCCTATAATTAAACAATATTATTTGAATTGAAAACTTTTAGTTTATATATTATAATAGTTATAAAATCAGTTCCGTCTCTACATTTCGGGAAAAATTGAAATGACATATTATGTATTTTTAGACCAAATATAAAACCAAATAGTAGTGATCGTCGAGTATTTATAATCATTATCGATCATCATATTTAGGTAATATACAAATATACAATCGTCGATGTTCTAATGAGTATTTTCATATCATAAACTGTTATTTTCACCAAATAATTATTATTGTATTATATCGGGGGCGAAATAATACTTTTGCCCCCATTAAATCAATGTACGTGGGCGATCGCCCCTTTGCCACCGTGGAGTTGGCGCCTGTGTCCACGGCAGTCGCATAGATCGTAGATAGGTTTTTCGATGTAACCTTTTTTTTTATAATAGGCTTTTCGAATATATATCATTATATCAACTTTCAAGTGCTTTGCCCCTAACAATCGAAAAAATAAAAACCGTAAACACAGTTACAATAGCACCTTGAATACTCGCCTTAATCTCCCTGCCCCCCTCCGACAATCATTGCGATAAAATCGCAATAGTAATATGTTAGTTTTATTTCATGATTGACACTGTCGGCAGCCGGCGATGCCCAAATTCTCAGTTTTGACGGACGACCGTCGTCAAAATATTATTGTCATAATATTTTCATCTAAATAATTATTTAACATTTATAGGTTTTAGATTTTGTGGCATAGACATACAATTATATTTACCATAGTTGACTGTTGACCAACACCCGTGTGAATACGAATACCAATCATTACTATCTAATGTAATTATTCAAACCCACTTTGCTGAATCCCAATTCGGCGACAAATTATTAACAAGTGTCAATTTCCACACAATGATTGTTGATTGATCCACTATGACTTAATCGAAAACGGATAACATAGCGATAAATTTATATAAATGCATATTTTTAAACCATATTTATAAATTATAAGTGGCGCCTAAATCCATGCATATTTAGTACTTGTTAAGCGCATCCAGTTCCGAGTTACGTAATAATAATAAAATGTTTGGTTTTTTTTATTTCTTAAATAGAGTATGTCTATTTAATAAAATACAATAATACAATAATTTTACAATTTTAGCTTCCAAGCCGAGCGATGAATCTATTGGTTTTACAATTATGTGTTTTTTTTTATTTTTGTGTCTGTCATCACGTTTTAGGACAGTAAAAACTAAAAGTGCTTAGATTTTCTTCAATAGTACCTTTTCTGATAGAAAAGTGAATCTAGTTGGTGGTACTTTGGGGGGGGGGGGGGGGGGGTGTTGTAAACTGACCGAGTAAACAGCCAAAAGTCAATATTCAGCTTCGGACCTCAAAGATGACGGTTCGTCATATTCTCACGCCGATCTACTTGGACTCGTAAAACAATATTAGTTATTTTGTTATAATTTAAAACCATTATTTGTTGGTATATGTAACTTTTAAAGTATATTGTTATATTTTATATGCACGCAATGGCATTTTAAAATGTATTTTTTTTTGGGAAAAATGAATTTAACCAAGTAACCAACTAATGCCTCATATTGAAATCAATAAAATTACTTTAATAACAATAATATCATCACATACATTTAGTATTTAGTAAGATATAATAGACTGACTGACTTTATGGCTCGTGGTATTTACTCCAAGTGGAAGTTTCCTATTGCGTATTTCCTTACGCACTCGACCATTAATAAAACAATTCTAAAAAATTTAATAATCGATGTTTTAAATAACTTAATTGATGTTGGTTTGTGCCCGAAACTAAAAGTATGCGACCAAGGCACAACCAACCAAAGCGCTTTGAAATTATTAAATATTTCCGAAGATAATCCGTTTTTTTTGTTAATGGTTATTAAATATTTTCTATATTTGACATTCCTCACTTACTTAAAAGCGTACGTAACAATTTTATTGAGGCTTGCTTTCAAAAAAATGATACAATTTTTTAATTTAACGATATAAAAGATACATATCAGTTGGACAAATTAAATAAAAAAAGTAAAGCTCTTTTTAAAATCACAGATGCGCACATTTACCCTTCATCTTTTCAAAAAATGCGTGTAAAATTGGCATGTCAATTACTGAGTAATTCTATGGCAGCAAGTAGCAACCATCCGTACTTGCGTAGCAACTGGTCAACTCCGTAGCAAAACTGCAATAGATACGGCAGATTTCGTTCAATTTATGAATAATTTATTTGATTGTTTGAATAGTAGGTCGCTTTATAGTAGTAATCCTTATAATTGTGCATTAACTCACTCAGGAAATGTTAAACATTTTTATTAGATGCTTTAAACTATTTTTCAAATTTAAAAAAAATTAAAAACGGAAAAATTTCGCAACCACCGTGTTTTAAAGGATTCTCGCAAAGTATTAAAGGTATTTTACAGTTTTTTGAAGGAGAAAAATCAAACGACGTATCATTCATTTTAACAAATCGATTAAATCAAGATTGCCTGGAAAATGCATTTAGTATTTTTAGACAAAAAGGGGGGTATAATAAAAATCCAACATCTCGTACTATAAGAACTTTTTTTAGAAGCAGTTGTATATTTTCCTTACCAAAAGGGACTAATTGTGAAGAAACGCAAGAAACAGATAACTTTAATGTAATAATCGACCCAGTAATTAATGTACCTATATCATCTGTAGGTAATGAAATAAATGAAACGGATTCTAGTTGTAGTGATACTGAATCGATTATTTCATCTAATTCATCAACGTTGCCTTTTGATCAAAACCAAATTACAAAAGTCACCTTAGAGGACTGTGTAACGTATTTTGCCGGATACCTTGCCTATAAATGCATAAAAAAATTCAACTGTCACTTTTGCCAAAATAATTTTTTAACTAGTAAAGATTTAAATGAAAAAAATCAAATTCTTTTAATAAATAAAAACTATAGTTCTTTCGAAAATGATAATACCGGACTTAAGGCACCCTCTATTTCTTTTAATAAAATAATTAATCATAGTTTGAATATTTTTAAAAAATATTTTGAAAATTATTCCTATACAAAAAAACTTCGTTTTAAATTAATGCAAAAAATTAAAGTGGATGTTTTAATAAACCAGTGGTTAAATGATGGAACGATTGTAATTGTAAAGAACATAAGTTATTCATGATTGATCACTTATTAATATGGAAAATATTTAAAAAAACTCAAACAATTTCTACTACATCACAACTAGCAAAAGTATCAAAATTATAAATTTTAAATCATATTTAATTTCATAATTCGTTGCTTTTTTTATCTATGTTATTATATAATTTGTAAACTGTTATGATGTCATGATTGCATTTATTAATTATTAATTTGAATTAATATTATTATTATTAAGTTTCTTTTTATAATTGTTTATATATAATTATTCATTATTATATATTTTATACTTATTTGTTTGAATAATTATTATTATTATTTAATTTCTGTTTTATGATTATATTTATTTATTTGAATAAATATAGTTATTATAATTTCTGGGTTTTCATTCTTGTTCCTTCATTTGTAATTTAAGCTTGTTTTTTAATTTTTTTTCTAATTTTGTATTTTACCAACCTACTTTTTAAATATTATTAGATAATTGTTTTGAGACAATACTTAAAGGAGCACACAACACAAAAAATAAGTTTTTTTTATTTGAAAGAATGTTCAATTCTAAGGATAATGGTATAGGTTTTACTACTCACATTATTCTATAAGTTATGAGCAATTGAAAAAAGACGTGTGACGTCACTGGGCCGGAGTCATCGTAATTGCCTATCTTTACGTGTAAAAGTTCCTTGCTTCACACAACGATTTATCAACCTAAACATTTTATTTTTGCAATTTAATTTGCATGTAAATATGTGGTTTTATGTGTTTATACTATGTTTAGTTTTTTAAATATTAAAAATCTTAAAAGAGACATTTTGGTTAAACCGCACGTCATGACGAGCAGTGCCGGCGCTAGGGTAGG